TATATATATATATATACTTATTTATCAAATTACATGAGCAGAACCAGCAATGTTGAAGCTCGTTAATACTACAGTTCAAACAAATGCACCCCTTGGACCTTTGGCCTTCTTAATAATCTTCTTAATCTCCTGGAGATTGTTTTGAATAAAATCCTCAGTGGCTGTGGATGAGGATTTTTTTTCACGACAGTTGTTGATGCTGAGAAGGAGGGATTGAGTGGAGATGGCAACCCCTCTGTAGGCGATGCTGTTGAGCAGTGCGGTGAACAGTTTTCTGGAGCAGGGTGACAGTAACGCTGCCTTCCTCTTCCTGCAACAAATAAGAGCTTGTTATAATTTCATGTACATTTGCACATGAGATGTAAAAGAAAATGTTCTTAAACCACCCATCTTTTCAGGTCAGCTATTCATTGAATGCTCGTTCCGCCTCCTCATCAATAAGGGTCTCAGTGGAAGGGTGTATGTGTGTTTGCATATTGCTCAACGCTTTGGTGCTAATACGCTACCTTCAAAGATAATTGACATTGCCTCTTCTGCAGACTTGGAATTTAACTCCCAGTGGCTCACAAAGTCGGAGAGCCAGCCCATCAAGGAATATATATGGGAAGCAGAAACAAGGTTGCACAGTTTCTTCTCTTCAGCTGCAGCCTCTTCCTCGTCTTCACGAATTTGTCTCTTAAAGATTTTCTCTTTATCCAACAAACACTTTCACTCACTCCCAAATTCTTTGCAATTTCCCTCCACAAATTGCTGTCCTTTTCCACGTCTCTATTATGTGTTAAGGACCCATTATAAAGACACGCGCAACGTTGCACCTCTTCACATGATCTCATAACGTCTATTTGGATTTTTGCAGGTCGGGTTAAAGACATCCTCTGAATTTCTGCCTATAATGAAGACAAAAGAAAGAAAAAGACATTAAACAAACAACCTAAAGGTTTCTCACATGACATCACATGCACACGTCTCATCTGTGTGCCATTTTGACACAACCACTCCATTCCCCGACTGCATTTTTTGCTAGCGCACATCTTCTTCACAGGATCCACAGGAATCGTTTTTTTCAGTTGAACCATACATTGAATTTTAAAAGGTCATTTCTTGGAAATCTTCAAAGCCACCTTCAGTTTCTTTTTGGTTTAGAGATGTGATGTCATTTCTTAAATTGCAAAAGATAGGCCT